TGTTAAAAACCCCAAGGCAAGAGGGGAACTCTGTGCTCCTCTGCTTGCATAACTGGCAAGACTGAACTGTGTTGTGCAGTGGTGTTGGAAAAATAAAAAAGCTATGTAAATTTCAAATGCTTTTTTGTATGACCATGTATTGAATGTATCAGACTTCTGTGCATAACAATATTACACAGTACGATACTGTATGGGAAATCGAATTAGCTGGTACATCAGCATGCCACGGTGCAGCCTGGTCAGCCTGAGTCCTAGGAGCAGCATAGCCACATCAGGTCAATTAGCCATGCACTGAACACCACAAAAATGTGGCTATTCTGCTGCAGCAGAGCTAACTTGTTTCAAGCTAGTGTGGGGATGTCCACATGGTCTTGTGGTATAGCCACACCTGATATTTCTGACAGTGTATGCTAAAAGTAGTATGGTAATATGCTCTTTGGTTGGAAGGAACCTCAACGAGGGGAGCATTTTTGTACACTTCAGTCTGTTTCAGTTTCTATTTCAAGTGTTGCTTTTAGAAACAAAGGTTTTGCTTTTTTCCTTGGTTTTTTTTCTTTTTGTATCTCCTCATTTTTTTATAGTTTGTAGCCTAAGCTAAACCCAGAAGTTTTCTAAATAGTAAATGTATAGGTAACTGGCTTGATTACAGTCTTACCTGTGCCTTTTAAAAGTAGGTTTAAAGCATGATTGCAGCTGGTTTCTTTACTGACTTTCTTAAACTAATGTTATGCATCTCTCAGCTCCTGCATTAAGTTTATAAGCATTTGATGAAAAACTGTTCCTGCGGTGGTGCTCTTATTGTGTTCAGTTGCAATGAAACATCACTGTTGGTTGGTGAACCTGCTGCAGGTTCTTGGGCAAATCTTGGAATACAATGGATTAATATCTGCATGGTGGTTTAATGCAGGAAAAACAACCACCCAAAATGCAGATTCTGTCAGTGTGTTTAGGAAGTACCGTGCATTCAGATGTGCATCAGTTATGGTTTAAAAGACTTGCTGATCTTGTGTATCAGCATTAAAAAAATGTTTTTTGTGTGTTTTGTGCCATTATAGTAGCCCCCAGCAGTTAATTGTCTGTATGAAAGTGATGTGTCTGCCTTATAGCAGCTGGGTTTGGGAAGATGATAGTGGAAAAAGAGTTGTTACAAAGCATATTTCATCTGCAGCTGTGGTGTAAGCTCAGTAGGGATCCCCACAGAAATTGTCCTGAGCTAATTTGAGCTTCTGCAGCCACTGCTCATTAGCTGGTGCAGTCAGGTCCTCTCCCAAGTCAACACTTTAGTCTCAGTCCTGGAATAGCAGTCCAGGAGGTGAAGTTGTTCCCTCAAAAGCCCTTCTGAAACAGTGGATTGGTCTGGCTGCCTGTTTTGACATGCCCATATGCTGTTATCTCTTCACCTGGGAGTAGTGAACAGGTAGGGAGCAGGAAATACTTTCAGAAACTGTAGCTGTTGCTGCTACCACAGCTTTCTTATTAGTGCGCTGGTGGCTTCTGAAGCTGCAACTACATGAGCAGTTGTGCCATAAACCTCCCCCTCTGTGATAGACGGACACATGTATCCTTAATTCTGTATTCTGAAAAGTGGTACTGGCAGCCAGAGGAGTAGTAGGCTGTGGAAGGGGAGGATTTGTGGGCTTTGCAATGAGTGTAGGGGTGGAATGTGGAGATTTAAGAGTTGGTTTTCTTATTTATGTCACGTTTGGGAACAGCTTCACATTGTACAATGGTAACATGAAAGTTGGGACACTTGCCTGTGAGATTTTGAGAGCAGTGTTGGGGGGAGACTTCATTGCAAAGATCGGCAGTGAAAGCTAGTTGCTTGCTCTTCATCATAGTGTGGGCGTGTTCTGCTGGTTGCTACAAAATTTCTCTTTGCACTTAGATGGAAGCTCTGTAGGTGTGTTGCAGCACCAATGTTATTACTGCCTGCTGTTTGAAAGAATTGCCACTTTTGGGTTGCAAATTTATTCCAAGATCTTTGAAGACAGTATTTGATATATTTTAACTTTCAGGTCAAAATGAGAGTTTATTCTTTCATTCTACTTGCCTTATGTGGTATTGAGGCACTGTTTTTCTCTTTGTGCATGTGTGCACAGGTGCTGCCAGCAGACACTGGTGCCCTGGTAGGTTGGTGGTACGTTTCCATCTTGCACATGGTTGCATACCCATTGGGCTAGAATTTTGCTTTCTAAATTCTAAATTACCTTTGCATTCTAGGTAAGGAATTTGACTTGAATGTCAGAATGCCTCATTGTGCACTATGTGGGATTGATAGTCATTTTTGGTCTTACTGGCTGAGACATTCCACAGCAGTCCTTGATAAGGATCTATATGCTGTTAAGGGGTAAAGCAAACTGCTACATGGTGCAAACACTTGGAAAAAGCATTTCAGAAGTTGCATTATTGTATTTTTCAAGTTCACCAGAGAAGAATAAACTTGTCAGCCATGATGACATTATGAGATGCTTGAGAGTAGAAGTTTCCATTACTCATGTGATGTTCCCTGTGGGTGACTGTCACATTTATGGGTTAGTTACTTCTGTGGTTTTTCACTTGATGACATGTCTAATATTAAGTACTTTTCCTCTGTACCAAGGTTTAAAGTGTCTAAGCTGAAAGCTAAGAGGAGGCTCTTAATAAAAATGTGTGTTCACACTTTTGGAGAAAACAGATAAGGTTGGTTATTTTTGAATGCGTTCAAATTAGGAATTAACTTCATAGGATAAAGTATTTCAAGTGTGTATTACCTGTAATGTAAAAATAATCTAATGATATGCAAATTGCAGTAAAATCTAAATATTAAACCTCTGTAGTAATATATAGTTATGATGGGGATATCTAGAGGTATTGTTGTCACGTTTCTTGTGGTAATGTGTTCCTTATGTGAAAAGTATTATGGGTTTAAGGAGTTCTTTTAAAAATATGTTCAAATTCATGAAATAACGTAGATGCATTTGATAGTAAAATAACAAGTCTTATCAAACTTTGGTTCAAAACTGTTTACTGTTGCTACTAGTACAGTTCTTCTGTTTTAGGCTATTTCAAAAATTTGTATCCTGATTATAAAACTGACCTTTTCACATCAAGGAATGCTAATTTAGCTAAGTTAAGTTAACTAAAGGAGCCTGAGGTTTCACATGAACATGTGTGTGTGCATTGTCTGCAGAGTAGCTTTGAGGCAGCTCCAGCTTCTTTTTCCCCCCAGTGTTCTACAGTTCTCTGATGACTTCAAACTGTTTTGAAATGTCCAACTGAGTAAGAGGAATAAATAATTAAAAAAATGGGCATCTAAAGACTGTAGACCTTATTTTTGGAGAGCAAAAAAAAATCCAGTGAAAGATATTAAATTGAAAGGTGGACAGTTTTCTTGCATTAAAAAAAAGTCAGCCAGACTTTTTTTGTGAATGTGTCTCACACAATCATTAAAGTAAAGTTTATGGTTAGCATAGTAACATCAACCTGCGTCAATCCAAGTCGCTGCCTAACTTCTGTAAAAGGATAGTTCTTCAAGGCATTAATTGCTTAAATGGAGTAAGGAAAGTGCATCTTTATATAATGAACTCAAAAGGTATGGTTGTGGACTGAAATAAGAGTTTTAAGTACAAGTTTTCATTGTGGTACACATAGAAAGAGATGTTTACTTTGCATGGTGAGCAACAGAAGACTGCAGACTTCAAGGTGGTGTGAGCTGAGAGCAGCTAACAGTGCCCATCAAAGTTGTTCTTGATGTCATCAGCTAATACTTGGATAAGGATCACATCTAAATTATGTCATAGCCATAATTAAAATCTTGGCTTTGGTGCCTTTTACCATATTCCTTCTCTAGCAGTTCACTGTTCTAGTGTGCAGCAGATGTTAGTGGAATCATTCATGGCAGTCAGTTTAATCTGGACAGGTACGAAATGTTTCCTGTATTACGTTGTTTCATGCAATTTTGTTCTTCCTGTGCTCCTGCTCTTTACTTCCCATTAGTACTTTCAAAGTAATTTCATTGTTCCTTTTTTTATGTAAGAAGAACAACAACAGAGCTACAGATTCCGTAACACCCTGGGAAAAACAGTTGTCTGAAAATGAGTGGATTGTGTGCTATAGCTGAGGTGTTGGAAAGGAAGTAAATATGATTCAGGTTGCATGTGTGAAAAAGAGAAAAGTCATAGAATAAGTAATATTTTGGAGTCTTTGTATTGGCTTGAATTGTTGGGCAAGAGTTTGTATTTTGTTGTATCACCTGCAGCAACAGAATAGGATGAATTTCTGGGTAACCCTGCTGGATATTCCACTTGGCAGTTTTTAGTAAATGTGCATTGCAGATTTCTCTGCTTGCTTCTGAATGTCCTTTCTGAAAGTCATGCTCATAGAGGGAAAGAAGTTCTGATTTCACAAACATACTGATTCTATTAATTTCTTTATGAATAATTGTAATGATTGAATGGAAGGAAGATGAATGTCCTGTAAATTAACTTAGATATGTTTCCTTGAATGGTGGATCCAAGTGCGGTGGAGAGAAAGTCAGTTTTTTCAGGACATTTATTGAGGTGGTTCCTGTTTCATAGCCTCTAAGAAAAAAGCTAATCTTAATCCCTAATGCAAAGGAAACAGATATGCATGTTGATTTTTCTAGAAAAAAGAGTGTTTATTTCCTGAAATGTGATTGAGCCTTAGGAGGGCAGCAAAGGAGGGCATGACCTCTATAGGTGCAGAGAACTCAGGTTTAATTATAGCCAAACAATTAATTTCATGAGACAATGTTGGAAACAAAATGTCTGGTTAACATATAATTGTCATTAATATCTCTAAAGACTTCCCTTTGTTTTAGTGTGTTCTTCCTATCTATTTGCAAGTTGTTGAGAACTTGGGAAGTCGTTTATCTAAAAAGTCAAGGTGGTGTCACTATTATTATGTTTTCCAGTCACCTGTTTAAATGTATCACTTTTTGCATGTCAGAGACTTTTCTCTAAAATGGCTTTTTTTTGTTTGTTTGGTCTTTTGTCTTTAAGATAAAGCGCCTTTGTCGAAGAGTTTGTTACTAGTCCTAAGTGCCATCTCGATTCTATTGACTCTGCTCTTTCAACATTATCAGAAGTTCTTTGTGTATAACCTACAAGCTATAAAAGAGGATTTTCAGGTAAGAGTCAGCTCATTTTGTGTGAAAAGAGACTGCAAACTGTGATCTTCTATGCCCCCCCGTTTGTTTTTCCTCTGGTTCTTTCCCTTTGTTTGCTGTTGTAGATCAGCTTGTTCTTACCTTTTTTTTATGTCACCCCCGTTTACCACTTTTTGGAAAACAAAGAAAAACTGATCTGAAACAATCAACATAGCTTCTCACTTCTTTGTCTTGTCTGGGAAATGATTTGTGTCATTTTTCCTTTCAGACACTGTAATGTGGAAACTTGCTGCGAATTAAGTGTGATTTAACCCCTTTAATAATACAAGTATTTTGATAATGAATGTCAGTATCTTATTGTGCTTAGTTTTTGAGACTGAAGAGGGCTATTGTGATTGGGCTTTCTGATTATATATGATTTATTTTAACAACAGAGGCCATAACTTTCATTCTGCAAGTTCTGGTTCAGTTAGTTGTGGAAAACTAAAATTTGCCTGTTAAATAGAAGGGCTGCTTCTAATTTGAAGATTCCAAGTGAGGGAGTTCGTCATACTCTTCAGTATGCTGCTGAATTGGTTAATTTCTTACTCATTCCTGTTTTAAACTAAGATACTCTATCTTTCGGATATTGTATCTTGTAAGGTTTTATTTTAAGCTTAATTAAGGATCCTGTAATATCAGCTCCGATTTTTGAAATAATGCACTTAAAACTGGTAAGTTCTGCAGGGATTTGTTTTGGGGTGTTTTATTTTAGGTTTTGAAAGTGATAAACTGCTGCTCACCAGGGAAGGGGTCAGCAAATGCCTCTGTGTTTAGCTTACCCACAGATTTTACAGTTGCTTAAAAACAAAAGGTATGTAGTCAAATTAATGTCTTTGAGAATGCCAGCTGTAGCCTATAAGCTTTAAAAGATTATTAGACCTAACTACTGATACTCTGTGCCATGGCACTTTGTAATCTTTCTTGTCAAGAACAAGAGCTTTCTTGCGATAATGTAGATTACAACTCTACAAGAGCACTATTTATATTTTCCAAATGTCTTTCTAATGCTGTGCAGCACAAATACATAAATGATGTCTGCCTTTTAAAAATATTACAAGCAAGTGTTTGGGGAAGGGGATGAAAAAGTCTGAGAAACTATTCAAGTTTTAAATGGAAATTGTGTGTATTTGGGGTTTGTTTGTTTGTTTGTTTTTCCATTTGTCTTAAGCTGAGTTCTCTCTTTCCATTTGTTTGATCTGCTAAAAACCAGCAGTAGCTGTGTTTTATTCAAAGAAACCATCTTTACTGTGTCTTAAGCATAAATATTTGCAAGTATCTGTAAAACATATGATACTTTTATTGTGGTGTTTTGGGGAATTTGTGGATTTGGATTTTTTCTTTCATGAGATTGTTGTTTCATTTATTCCCATGCCCTTTGGAGCAAGCTATACTCTATATCATTGTGTAACTCAGGGAGAGCAGATTGTTTAACTCCTGTCTGATTCTAATATTCAACTGAGAATTTTTAAAAGAAAATTTGTTTAAAATGAATTCATCTGCAGGGATGAGTTTAATAGAAAGGAATTTTTTCAGGGGCTGAACAGACATTTTGGATGTTGGATTCTTAAAGCTGATAGGGAGCACAGGCAATAAAGCAGGCAGTTGAAGAAAAGTACAGTTAATTTGGAAGGCAAAATATGTACTGTCCAAAACGAAAAGATCTTTGTCTCCATATGGAGGACCCTTAAGAGCAGCGAAGAAATCTTGTGTGTAAAATGAGGATCTTCATTACATTAGATCTAAATATTTTTAAAGCTGGCTAAAGCGAAGACCAGTTAGGCTACAAGCCTTTCCTAGTCTGTGAGAGGGCTGTTCAGTTAATGCATGTCATGAAATAGTCACCTGTTAGGTCACAGCCCTGCTAGTTTGAGCTTCAGGAGGGATGGTACCTCAGGCTAGGTTTTAACATTGAGCATATTGCTATGGGGCAGCTGCAACAGTGAGGTCCCAGTTCTTTCTTCTTGTTCAGTCCTTGGGTATGGTGGGGAAGTTAGAGGCAGAAGCATTGGTTGCGGCCTGAAGACCTTGAGAAATGTAAGGGAGGTGAGAATGCCTAGCAGGCAATGGCTTGGGAAAGGGAGTAGAGGGAGCCGAAGCTGAGCAAGAGAGATGGAAACTAGCAAGAGAGATGAAGGGCAGCAAGCAAAGTTTTTGTAATAAGGATCTGGCAGTGTAATTGTGAGACTTTCTCTACGAACTTCAAACAGTCATGGCAATTGCTTGAGGTACCTGATGACCAGAGAAAGGCAAACATCACACTCATCTTTGGGAAGGGCAGAAGGGAAGATTCAGTTAACATCAGTCCCTCAGCCTTACCTTGGCTCCTGGGATGGTCATAGATCAAAACTTTGTAGAAGCAATTTTTCAAGATGTGCAGGACACAAAGGTGACTGGGAGCAGCCAAGCTGAAGTGGACAGATTCTGTGGGTCGCGATTGGTTGCACAGCTGGTGTTGGCAACAAGGTTTTTGGTTTTGTGCCCAATGTCCTCTCTGAAGATTGAGGACTACTTGGAAGAAATGGGATCCACCTGGCCAAGTGGGACAAAGGCATCTTTGCTAACAGGCAGGCCAACCTGGTGAGGAGAACGTTAAAAGAGGAACAACACAGGAGGGAGACGATAACTTGCGGTCAATTGAGGAGATATGGACTGAGTTAGCCAGTAAAGGATTGATATTAGTGGATGACAGGATGATAGAAACAGAAGGGATCTTGTAATCAGCAAAACAGGACTGAAAAGGACCTACTTCATAAATACGTAAATAAGGAAGTGCCTACGGGACAGCATTATGTGGAAGACTCTCATGCTTTCTGGGAAATCAGCATGACTAGGTGCCTCTTTGAGGTGTCTGCACACGAATGCATGTGACATAAGGAACAAATAAGAGGAATTAAAGGTCATATGCCATTACAGAACTACGATCTCACAGGGGTCATGGAAATGTGGTAGGTTGTCACATGATAAGAGTGCCTCAGCAGGAAGGTACAAGCTTGTTGGGAAGGACAGGCAGGGAAGGGAATTGCTTTTTATGTGAAAGAGTGGCAGAACTGCACAGAGCTTCATCTTGGGACATGAGGAAGTTGAGATTTTATGGGTCAGGACTAGAGGGCAGACCAGTACAGCCAAGTTTGGTGGTGGCATTTGCTACAGGCTATCTGATCGTAAAGAAGTAGATGAGGCTTTCTTCAGACACCTGGAAGAAGCCTCATGATTACAGGTACACACTCATAAGTTTTGCAGGAGTTGGCTCATGTCATAGTGAGGTCACTCTGTATTATCTTTGAAAGGTCATTGCTATCAAGGAAGGTTCTCGAGGACTGGAAGAAAGCAAATGTCCTTCCTATCTTCAGGAAAGGCAGGAAAGGCATTTGGGAAGTACAGGCCAGTCAGCATCTTCTTTATCACTGGGAACATCATGAAACAAGTTCTAGAAGTAATTTTCAGACACACAAAGAACAGTAAAATGACTAGGGATAGCCAGCACAGATTTATGAAGTGGAATCCTCGACTGACCTGGTAGCCTTCTGGGATGAGGCAGATGAATGTCTTGGTGGGTGATGGAAGATAAGTGGATGTTGTTTATTTTGATCTTAGTATAACTTTTTACGCTGTCTCTCGTAACATTCTCAGACAAACTGAGGAAGTGCAAGGTGAGAGAAGTGGGCAGTGAAGTGGATTGGGGGCCAGTGCTGTTTAGTGTCTTCATTCATAACTTGGACAGCAGGACACAGTGTGCTCTCAACAGTTGATACACCCATTAGTTCTGCAGGCATTTAGAGGGGAGAAAAGGGTCAATAGGAACCTCATGAAGTTCAGCAAAGGCAAATGCAAAGTCCTGCACTGGAGAGTAGTAACATCATGCACCAGTACAAGCTTGTGGCTGACCAGCTGGAAACAACTTTACAGAAAAGGCCCTGAGGGTCCTGGTGGAGAATAAAGTTGAACATGAACCAGCAGTGCAGCACTGTGGCTAAAAAGCCTAACAGCATCCTAGGCTGCATTAGGAAGAGCCTCACAAGGAGGCCTGGTGGGATGATCATTCATCTCTACTCACCCTCAGTGACATCTGAAGTGTTGTCCCTTGTGCTGGGCTCTTGTGCCATATCCTACAAGACAGACCTTGACATCCTGCAGGGAGTCCAACAGAGGGACACCAGTCTGGTCAGGTGTGTAAGCAGAGACTGACGGAGCTGGGATTGTTTAGCCTGTAGAAGAGAATGCTTAGGGTAGATCTTACCAGTGTGTGTAAATATCTGATGTGAGGGAGCAAAGAAGAGAGAGCCAGGTCAGTGAAAGGACAAGAGGCAATGGGCATGAATTGAAATACAAGAAATTCCATTTGAAGCAAAAGGTTTTTTACTGTAAGTCTGATGGAACAGAGGAACAGTTTCCCCAGAGAAGTTGTGTAGCCTCCATACTTGAAGATAGTCAAAACCAGACTGGTTGTGGTCAGTTAACATCCTGCTTTAATTGATTTTGTTTTGAATGAGAATGTCAGACTAGATGATCTCCAGAGGTCCTTTCCTATCCTCAACCATTCTATGAAAGCATGCCTGACCAAATGGTTGTGCTCTTCTATGACGCAAGTGGTGCTGTGGATGAGGGGGAGTCAGTGGATTTTTGCACACCTTGACTTTAGCAGGGCCTTTAACCCAATCTCCCGTTGTGTCCTTGAAGCCAAATGAAGGTATGTACTGAATAACTGGAAAGGAAGATGGGTGGGAAATTGGCTGGACTATCCATGGAGTTATGGTCATTAGTACAAAGTCGACTTGGCAGGTATTAATTAGGGGAGAGCCCCTTGGAGATTAGTGCTGGGACCAGTACTATTTAATGTATTCATTAGTTACTTGGATGTTGGGATGGAGCGCACTTTGACCAAGTTTGTGCTAAAGTTTGTATGATCCAGAATTGGGGGGAATGGTCAATATGTTGGAAGGTAGGGCTGCTGTTCAGAGAGACCTTGGCAAGCCCAAGATATGGGATGACAGGAATTTCATGAATTGGAAAATCCTGCTTCTGGGATGGAATAACCCCAGGCTGCAACAGTGCAGGCTAGGAGGGGCAAGTGCTTGGGAATTAGCTCTGCAGAGAAGGACCTGTGGATCTTGGTGAACAAGAGAAGCCAACTGTGCTCTTGCAGCCAAGAAGGCCAACCATTTCCTGGACTATTAGTGAGAGTGTGACAAGTAGGTAGACCGTACTCCTGTAGCTGACAGTGTTCCAGATGTGTCTCTCAAGTGCCCAGTTCTGGATTCATCTGTACAAGAATCACAGAATCACAGAATATGCCGAGTTGGAAGGGACCCACGAGAATCATCAAGTGCAACCCTTAGCCCTGCACAGGACCATCCCAAAGAGTCACACCATGTGCCTGGGAGTATTGTCCAAACACTTCTTGAACTCTCTCAGGCTTGGTGCTGTGACCACTGCCCTGGGGAGCCTGTTCCAGTGCCCAACCACCCTCTGGGTAAAGAAACTTCTAATATCCAGCCTAAACCTCCCCTGACACAACTTCAGGCCATTTCCTTGGGTTCTGTCACTGGTCACCACAGAGAAGAGATCAGTGCCTGCCCCTCCTCTTCCTCTCATGAGGAAGCTGTAGACTGCAATGAGGCCTCCCATCAGTCTCCTCCAGGCTGAACAGACCAAGTGACCTCAGCCACTCCTCATATGGTTTCCCTTCAAGGCCCTTCACCATCTTCGTTGCCCTCCTTTGGATACTCTGTAACAGCTTAATATCTTTCTTATATTGTGGTGCCCCAAACCGCACATGATATTCAAGGTGAGGCTGCACCAGTGCAGAACGGAGCAGAGCAGGATAATCACCTCCCTTGAAGATATGAACACACTGGAGTGGATCCACCAAGACAGTCAGAGTGTTTGACATAGAAGGAAAGGCTGCGAGAACTGGGTCTGCCCAACCTCGAGAAGACAGAGAGGAGACACCTTATTGCTGTCTACAAGTAGCTGATCAGGAGCTATAGAGAAGCTGGAGCCAGGCTCTGCTTGTCTGCAAAGTGCAAGAGGTAGTTGACACAAGATAGAACATGGGAAATTCTACCTAGATTGTAAGGATTTGATTTAGTTTTTTAAACCATGAGGGTGGCCATAAACTGGCACAGGTTTCAGAGAGGTTCTAGAAACTGAATCCTTGGAGGTGTTCAAGACTCAACTGGACATGGTCCAGAGGAAACTGATCTGATTAGACCTTCTTAGAACAGTTACAGTTGGACTAGTTTGTATCTGAAAGTTGTTTCAAAAATAATTTTTTTGTAATTCTAAATTCACTAAGGTTGTGATTTCCATTTTTATTTGTAAATGTAAACTAGGGACATAAAAGTGTCTTTGGGTTAATTTGGGTTAATTGTCGACTTGTTGTAACAGTTAGACATCTGCCTTGAAAATATTTTATTTTTGAAGAGACTTCTTGAACTCTTCCAGAACATTCTACTCTCTATTTCCCTTCTTAAATGTACCACATTTCTGTTACCTGAATCCAGTATTGCATTCACTAAGAGCACAAATTCTGTGAAGAATTTCCTTGAAGGAAGAGAGGCTTAAAATTATGATCATTAATCTTTCAGATTTGGAGACTTGTATGTGGAAGAACAATATGTCTTGATTTGAAAGACACATTCTGTAGCAGTCTGCTCATTTACAACTTTAGAATATTTGAAAGAAGATATGGCAGCAGAAAATTTTCAGTAAGTTCCAGTTTTGAATTTTTTTTTTTTTAACAGAAACTGTTTTCTACACTGTTTAGAATCTTGTAGTCTTGTATGAATACTGCAGCTTTATTCCTAACATTTTGTATAGAAATATATGTTAAAGGGTTTTAAGAATTATTTGGTTTTCATAAATTTAAATTTATATTGATAATATCTTGCAGTCAGTGGATTATTCTAGTTGCTGTTTGCAGGTTTATCAGTTGAAAGTTACCAAACCCATAGAATTTAATTTTGGAAACAAATCTAACTCTTCATTCTTCAATGTCTACACAAGTAGATTTGGAATTATGTTGTGTTAAAGATTGTATTTGTCTTAGTTGAACTAGTATAGTGATTTTCTTGTTTTTTTCTTTTATTTAGAGATATATTAAAACCTTATTTTTAATCTGTTGAATTGATTCAAATTAACCTTTCTCTTTCCAGTCTTTTTTGCTGGGTGCTTGGATGCTCTCAGCTTTATTTGATCTTCTCCTTGTAGAAATTGCTCAGTATATATTTGGCATCACCATCAACAGCTTGCCTTCTGGTTTGTAAGTAGCTTCTAATGGATTGTTTATTTTAGATATATTTTCAAGGGATTGTTTTCTGACGATTTTAATTAAAAAACTTTCTTCATGTAACACTTCAAATCAAATTTAATCTTCCTTTGAAATGAAGTGTAAAGGTTCTTGGCACAACTGTTATAATTTCAAACATTTATTTCTTAGTTATTGGCCGGGCGCGGTGGCTAATTTATAATTTATCCATATAATGATTAGTTTCCATTTTGTTAGTCCCATTTCCCCAGGCAGCATGATTGAAACACAGCTTGCAGTGTACAAATTGTTGCTGTATTTGTTCGGTCTGAATTGTTTGGTTTATTTCAATTCGTAAATCTGAAAACTGAAATTGGGTTGGTGCTGATTTTTTTCTTAAATCAGAAAGGCAACAGAACTGTAAATCATGTCTTCTATGTTCACTTTTAAATGCATATACATTTCATATTGGTATTTTGTATGTGTTTAAAAAATTGAGTGCTAGAGCATGTTACTCTATTTAGTGCTTGCAGCTGAAGTTCTTACAGCTTTAAGGTGTTAAGTGGTTCAGTTTCTTATAACCTATATTTGAGATTTCTGCACTTAATAAAAGATGTGCATGTTAAAGTAGAACCACAGAGCTTGCAACACTTTGTGGTTAAGTTTCTGGCAAGTGAGATCAGCCTCATACAGACTTGAGTTTCCATATGTTTTACACTCTGAGGTAATAATAAAAGCTCTTGGAGTAAGATTTTTAATATTAAACACCACATTAGACTTTTTTTATTTCTACTTTTCCAGAGTGTCTGTTGAAAGTAGCTAAAGACTGATTTGATGAGGAAGAAAAAGCATGTGTTTGACATTTTAAAGATATGTTTTTTGTAGTGTGTGAGTAGTCTAAAGGAGTTGAAAGCTTGAGTAGTTATTGCAGTTACTCATCGTATTTGTTACCTTGAGTTTGTTGCTAGGACATAGACTGCTAGTGTGGCTAGACAAATTCCTATAAACATATGTGTAAAAAGATATTTTGTGCAAAAGTAGGGTATAATAAATGTGCACATCAAATGTGCACAAGGAGGTAATGAACAGTTTAATTATTATACCCTTTGATGGTATTTCTATGATTGTAGAATGTAGTCAGTTACAAGGAAATCTGCATCAAAAAAGTTTTTAATTAAATGAATATGCCTTCTCTTTAATGGTGATATTGATATTGAGAGAATGAAGTTAATTTTAAAAGTTGCATCATAATTCTTCAGTGTTCTCTGCTTTATTATACTAATTGTCACTTTTTCATGTCTGACAATGTTCACAGCCTTTTGAGATGACAAAAGCATTGGAAAGTTTTAACACTGGTCATTTCAGTTGAAACAAAAGATATTGAGCAAATACAGAGAGGTGCAATTATTATTCTGCTGCTCTTATTTTTACAGTGCAACAAATGTATCTGTTACTTCTGGCCTAGAACATTCTTAAGTGTAGTCAAAATGCAAGAATTCAGAAAAAGAATCGCTTGTTTACATTGTAAAAGTCCCCTGACATTTTTCTCTTTTTATATCATTTCACTGTTCATATTACTGAGTGATCTTACACTTCCAGTTCGCAAACTTTTCCTGCGCACACTTCGAAGGTAATTGCGATAAAGGATTACACTGATGACTCTTGCCTGGAATTGTTTAGAAACAATATAGTACAGGATAACATCCAAGCATGTACTGAGATTCATGAGAAAGGTGGTAAAGGCTGCCCAAGGATTGTAAGTTGTATTTTCATCTTGCAACATCAGGAAGGTGAAGCAAATGTGGAAGGGCACAAAACAGATGAGTACCTGAGCAATCAGAGTAACTATAATTCTTATGGATCTCTCCTTGGCCTTAGGCTTCAGTTTAGAAGTCTTGCCATCGATAAAATTGTAAATAATGATTAGGTAACACCCCATCATGATAAACAAGGGGATCAAAAAGAAAAAAATCAAGCGAGAAAAGTTCAATGTATTTACTTCCTTTAAGTGGATTATATCAAGCATTTTCATGCAGGTGGTGAAATTCGAGGCTTTGTCTGGATCAGATCGCAAAAACAGCAATGGGGACGTTGTTGCGAGGGTCATTACCCAGATTCCAATGCAAGCCAGCACAGCTTTTTTTGTATTTTTTAGTTCTTTGACATGTTTGGGCTGGACAATAGCCATAAATCTGTCTACGCTTATAAAAGTGAGCAACCACAGAGCAATGGCTGGATAAAATACAGTGAAAGCACCAATAATCCGGCAGAACGTATCTCCAAAAGGCCACGTTTCTTTCCCATGGTAGATTATCCGAAAAGGCAAGGAAAATATAAAAATTATGTCAAGTAATGCCACATTCATCATGTATACAGTTATAGTTGTTCTCTTCTTGGTAGTGCAGCTGAAAACCCATAGTGCAGTGGCATTCACCAACAATCCCACTGTGAATACAAAACTGTAGAAGACCAGTGATGCAATCCTATATTCTTCAGGGTGGTGATTTTCAGGCATCATAGTTTCATTAAACTTAGGAATAGTTGTTGCACTCCATAAATACCCTAAAAGTAGATAAAATGGGGGAAGTTATTTTCAGTCAAATGAAATCTATCTTTAAAAACAAATAGGAAGATTGTTTTAGAATTGTGGTTAGTGATGAGACTGTATTTTTTAGCTGTGAAAACATGTTAGCTTTGTTGCTTTTTCTGACGGCAAATACATTATTGTGCTTTGAGGGAAATACATGTACTGTCAGACTTGTGTGAAATAGTATTTATAAGCGTGTTTTAATCAAATGTTTTAATTATTAAAGGGATTATTATTTAAGGAATCAAAAAGTCAAGATGGACATTTTGAGTGTGCTTCAGTAGCTGATAATAAGATTGAAGCAGTTGTTTTCTAAAGCAAATATTTCTTCAAGTTGTCCCTGTTGAAACATTTTTGACTAAAACTAGTTATGAAAAGAAATAAGTGAGCATGGCATGTAGTGACATTTGGATATGCAAAATGAAGTATCGATTTTACTGTTTATCTGTGTAGGGACTACTTAGCTCCCAAAAGAACAGGTGCTTGCTGTTTTTCATAAAAGACACTAAAAAGCTGTCTTAGTAGCTACATAGCCTCTAATACAGTATTTAATCACAGGGCATCAGAACCACCCACCTAACATATGGATAAGATGAACAGATTAGTAGACTTCCCATTTTAAAAAGTAAAATAATGGGAAGCAGACTGCCGTCTCGAACTAGGCCATATGTGAGCAGTATGTGTTGGGGGCAAAAGTTGCTGGCTGATAGCCAGGTGCCCCAGACCACAGTTGTGTTGCTTCTCTCAGCTTGTTGGTCATAGGAGTTGGACATCTGAAATGTCATTGTGCGGGCTCCGGTGATGAGAGCTGAAGGAGATTATCCCCTGGTTTGCTCTGGAGCCACTTGAGGATGGCAGACCTTACCTGGAGTTTGCATGGGTGCTTTGATTAACCTGCACCCCCTGCACTTTCCTGGCTCTTGCTGTGGTCACGGTTTCATGACTTTGTGTTGGAGGGTTTGTCTTTCTTGGCCTTTAAAGCAGCCCTATGGCAGCTTAGTGAAGAGGAGGAGGAGGAAAGAGTTAGTTGTTTGTCTGATCTTCCTACTTGTGACAGTCAAGGAAGTTTTACAGTATTGGCTAGAAACCAGGACTGTTTTCTGTAGCAGAAGAGTGCATAGTTCCTGTGTGTTTTATCTTGAGAAGTGAAGAATGCATTAAAAAAAGCTTTATTGTTGCTGCTCATCTGGTTTATGCTTTCTCTGTGATGTTACCAAATACTTTTTTAGTGTTACAGAAATGCATAGGGGATTGAACCAGTGTTTATTAATCTAGCATCCTGGTTTGACACTGACAAATGTCAACTGCTTTTGAGAAGAGTATCCATGCAGTAACTAACTTAAATATGACCTATTAAAACTTTATTTAAGTTAGTTTCTGCCTTGAAATATGAAGTTTGGGCTTCTGATTTTCTTACAATTCTCCAGTTTACAGATAAATAAAAGAATTATGCGTACACATATCTAACCCTAAACTTCAAAGGTTTTTTTTAGCTGTCCAAAGCAAAAAAGGTGTGTTTTCTGTTTGATGAGGTCACTAAAACATATAGCAGAATTTATGTTTTGTATGGGAAAAGCTGTGCACGTAGTACAAAAAAAGAGGTTTGGAGGGCATCTATATGAATGCCTCTAAAATTCCTCATTGTGTGAAGAACTCAAAAAATAAGAAAAATAAAAAAATTAAAAAATGATAGCAGACGTTATCGAAAGTTACATGGGATATGCTTGAAAGAAAAATTTTGTAGCACAGTTGAAATATTATCTGCCACACTGTCCCACTTTCATTACTGTTGCATAAAATTGTCCAAATGTTGCTTAACACACACTTCCCCCCACCCCTGAGTATTACAAGTGGTTTGCTTCTTTCTCTTTTGTTCTGTTTTTTTTCTGTCTTGTTAGTGATTGATTGTGTATGATAGTGCATGGCTGCCTAGCTAAAGATCTTGACTGATTTAGCAGGTGAATTGAGTAGTGATGTATAGGATAGATAGAAGAATTCACTCGACTATTAATAAATAGAATGGATTTTGGCTTTGGTTTTGCTCTTCTCTCATTTGGACTTGCAGTGATTGTAATTGTTTCTGGTCAGGTCGTGTTTCTGAAATAACCAGCAGGCTGATGTTGATGGGAAGAGAGGAAGCTGAACCTGGTGTGAGCTTTTATCAGGCAAACCAGGGGTTCCATGTTTTTTTTGCTGACTATTTCAAGTTTGTGACAGTTTTGAGATATATCAAAGAATGATCTACTGTAACAAAAGGGGTTTGTTTGAGGGTTTTTTTTTGTTTAGTTGTGAAGATACTGTTTTCAAACTTTGTGGGTTTAGATGCATGTTAGAGTTAGATGTTTGCATCTAACTCCAGTTAGAGTTAGATGCATGTTAGATGTTAGAGTTAGGCATTTCTCCTAAATTTAATTTTTAACACTGTAAA